TTTTATGAGGCCAGTATTACATTGGTATCAGTGGAGCTGCATGAAGTAAGACATAACAAAACACATATAATTTCACTAAAGTTATCAAATTTGAGGGTATAATTGGTGATAGCATTTCTTTATTATTTTTTGATTATTCATAGGATAAGTAGTGTTGAACTTTCTTATTTTGTCATTGTTGTCTGAGACAGAATCTAACTATGCAGCCCAGTCTGTCCTGGAACTTTCTATATAGCCTAGGTAGGCTTTGAACTCACGATCCTCCTGCCTCAGCCTTCTCATCACTGGGTTTATCCACACTGGCCCCACTTTCACTTCTAATATTGATAATTTGTGTCTTTCATTCTTTTCTTTCCTAAATTTGTCTTTTTTTTCTGTGCTTCATTTTTCTTCTTTCTCTGCCTTCCTTTCTCTTTCTAATCTTTTCTGCCTGCCCTTTCCTTCCTTCCTTTCCTTCTTTCTTTCTTTTTTCTTTTGAGGTCTGATAGTTTCTTTTAAAGAATCAGCTTTGGGTTGCACTACTTTTTTCTGTTTTCCAATTTTTAATTTCACTTATTTCTGTTCTCATATTTTATCCTTTCCTGTTTGTTTTAGACTTAAATTGCCTTCTTTTTTCTCATTTCACAAGGTGAAAGCCCAGATTGATTTTAGATCTTCCTCTTTTCTAATACAATATATGCATTTAATGCCATACAATTTCCCATGAGCACAATTTTGCTGCATCCTACAAATTTGGTAAGCTGCATTTTCATTTAATTCAAAAATAATTTAACATTTCTGTTGTCAATTCTTCTATGGTTCATGTGTTAATGAAATAGTGTTTAATTTTACAATATTTTGAGATTCTTTCACACATCTGTCATTGGTTTCTAGTTTAATTCCACTGTGACCAGAATTTTTGTTTATGGCTCTGTTTTACATTTGTTCAGGTATATTTTATGGCACAGAGTGTGTTTTATCTTTACTGTTGCTAGGTGAAGTGTTTTATAAATGCTTATTAGATCAAGTTGGTCAATGACAGACTTGGGCCAACTATAACTTTTACTGATTTTCTGCCTGCTTGATTTGTCAGTTACAAAAAAAAATGGTTGTAAATCTAACTATAGTAGGATTTATCTATTGCTTCTTGGAGAAAGATATTGTCTTCTTGGAACATGGACTCCTTTATTATTTAATGCCTGCCTTTATCCCTAATAACACTATACTACGTCAACAGTACTATATAACAGGGAACAATATCCCTCATAAAAGTAGACATGACAATTTTCAACAGACCATAGTAATCCCTTTATATGTGGGGATATTTTCAGAGACACCTCCAGTGAATGCCATACAGAATCCTGTGTGTATGGCTCCTTCCTGTACATACATATCTTCATAAAGTTTAACTTATAAAGTTGGTACAGAAAGAGATTGGTAAAAACTAATACAAATGTAACAATCCGTAACAACATACTGCAGTACAGGTTATATGGATGTGATAGTATTTTACTGCACTTTCACCTTCTCACTTAGCACCTGACAGCCTCCCTTTGGCATATCCAAATCGCCAGCCTCACTCCTCTTGGGCACTGGCACAAGTATTAAGTGAAATACGGGTTACCTGAACACAAGTGCTAGCTACAGTGACAGATGTTCTGATAATTGACATGGCTACTGAGTGATTAAAGTAGGGGGAGTGATACAGCCACCCAACCTGGCAGGATGATTCACCTTCTGAGCAGGAGGAAGCCAGACATCACCAGATTTCCATGCAACCCAGAATGGTGGGCGCTGTTTATATTGGAGAGATTTCATTTAATACTTTTGGATCACAGTTGACTACAAATAACTGAACTCATGGAAGATGAAACCAAGGGTGGTAGGGGCCTACTATGTCAGCAAACCCAGAAATATAAACCAATAAAAATGAAGTTGCTCAGGGATACAAGTCAGTTAGTATTCAAAAAATCAAACTTACAATCCTCTTGCCTCAGGGTTAGGATTACAGATGTACACCACCGTGCCCAGCTTACATAATCCTTTTGAAATGATAAAAGGTTCTATTGTTCCTTAGGCATACACTTTAGTTCCTTGTCATAAAGATTTTTTTTTTTAATCCTGGTCATGAAGTTTGAACTCAGGGCCTGGATGCTGTACCTGAGGTCTTTTGCTCAAAGCTAGCACTCTACCACTTTGATCTACAGCTCCACTTCCTGTTTTCAGGGTGGTTAACTGGAGATAAGAGTCTCAGAGACTTTCTTGGGCTGGCTTTGAGCTGATCTTCAGATCTCAGCCCCCTGAGTAGATAGGATTACAGGAGTTAGTCCCAGCACCCTGCTATAAAGGTGTTCTTGAGCCGGGCACTGGTGGCTCATGCCTGTAATCCTAGCTACTCAGGAGGCTGAGATCTGAGGATCTCGGTTCAAAGCCAGCCTGGGCAAGAAAGTCTGTGAGACTCTTATCTCCAATAAACCACTAGGAAACCGGAAGTGGCGGAAGTGGCGCTGTAGCTCAACTGGTAGAGTGCTTGCCTTGAGCGCCCAAGCCTAGAGTTCAAGCCCCACGACTGACAAAAAAAAAAGATGTTCTTGATTAGTCCAGTTCTTCCCAGAACCCAAGTTGATAGTAAAGTGACTAACAGAGAATGGCTTAGAGCAGAGACATAGACAATAAGGAGACAGGGACACCACACTTTTCTACTGCCTTTAATCTGTAGGGCCAGCAGAAATAGCTTTTCATCACCTCTTAAAATTGTGAGGGCACACGTGCGCACACATACACACACAATGAGTGCATGCAAATACTGGCTGCCTGTGAGTAAAATCTTTCCATGATTGTACTTATGTCAGTTTCCTATCTTGACACCGTAGCTTTGAATGGTGTCACCACTGGAATAAACCAGTATAGGAGACCTTTCTGTACTATTTTTGTAATTTCCTCTGACTATAATCATTTCAAAATTTTAAGAATAATAGTTTTTAACTGTGAGAAAAGACCTCTGAACTCCAAAATTCTGGTAGGCTGTAGGTGCACAAAAACTGAACCATTTAACTGCAAATGTAGATGCCAAAATAAAATAAAATAAAAAGGTGACTCAGAACAAAGTCAAAGGCAGAGTCGAAACTCCCTAGCCGGAAAAAAAGGGGACCAGTGGGGATGATCAAAACACCTTATCCACATGTATGAAAATGTGAATAATGAAATCCATTGTTTTGCACTATATATATGAATATGAATATATGTATATGTGTTTATATTGTGTGCATTTATGTATGTATTTGTATGTGCTAGTCTAAGGGTTTGAACTCAGGGCCAGGCTCTGTCCTGAGTTTTTTTTGCTCAAGGCTAGTACTCTACCATGTGAGCCATAGCTTCACTTCTGGCCTTTTGGATGCTTAATTGGAGATAAGAGTCTTATGAACTTTTCTGCCCAAGCTGGCTTTGAGCTGCAATCTTCAGATCTCCCAAGTAGCTATGATTACTGGCATGAGTCACCAGCACCTGCAATATATAAGTTTTTAAAGAGAAAGAAAAAAAAACTAAGATGATTTTGTATACAAATCCACAAGTTGATTTTAAAATGTACAAGAGGGCTGGGAAGGTGGGTCAGTGGTGGAGTGCTTGCCTTGCATGCATGAGGCCCTGGTTCGATTCCTCAGCAACACATAGGCAGAAAAAGCCAGATGTGGTGATATAGCTCAAGCGGTAGAGTGCTAGCCTTAGCTGAAGATCTGAGGGACAGCACCCAGGCCCAAAGTTCAGGCCCCACAACCAACAAAAAATGAATTTAAAACAAATAAAATGTACAAGAAAGATAAATGAAATACAATACCCAAAATATGATTGTGTGTGTGTGTATGTGTGTGTGTCCTAGGACTTGAACTAAGCACCTCGGCACTATTCCTGAGCTTTCTTGATCAAGACAAGTACACTACAACTTGACCCACAGCACCACTTATGGCTTTTTTGGGTGGATCATTGGAGATAAGTATCTCAGAGACTTTCCTGCCTAGGCTGGGTTTGAACCACGATCCTTAGATCTCAGCCTCCTGGATAGCTAGGGTTACTGGGGTAAGTCACCAGCACCTGGCCCAAAAGATTCTTTTAAAGGAACAGAAAAGTTGCAGAACTTACTAATTTCAAGTGTTACCATAAAGTTACAGTAACCAAGGTAGATTATAAGATTTACTTTAAAAGAATCAAAAGGAAAAGTCATGCTGTATAGACTAACAGATCAGAGCAGAGTCACTTGACTTTTTTTTTTTTCCAATTGTGGAACTTGAACTTTGGATTTTCTAGTGGTTAATTGGAGATAAGAATCTCATAGACTTTCCTGAGCAAGCTGGCTTTGAGCCATGATCCTCAGATCTCAGCCTCCTGAGTAGCTAGTATTACAGGTGTGAGCCACCAGCATGGGGGCCTTCAATTGACTTTTTTTTTAAGACGTGATCTCACTGAGTAGCCCAAATTAGCTCTGAACTCAAAATCCTCCTGCCTCTGCCACCCAAGCATTAGAATTATAGGTATGTGCTACCACACTCTTATTGTATGTTAGTTTTTTGTCAAGTTGAATATATAATTACTATATGATCCAGTAATTATATTCCTAGATAGGCATTCCAATGAAATAATCTGTATCCCAGTCAACCTCTAGTGCTCACTCCTTTAATCCTCTTTATACTCAGAAGGCTGAGATCTAAGTTTCATGATTTGGAGCTAGCCAGGCAGGAAAGTCGGTGAGACAACAACAACAACAAAAAGAGGGATAAATGCCTTATGGCAGGGGTAGGTTGTAACACTGTTGCCTGTGTGCTTCTCCCCTGCCCCACCACACTTCCTGGAGACCCAACCCTGCTGCTGTCACACATTTCAGTGATGTCACAGCTCCCCTGCCCAGCAGCCTCAGCAGCACCCATGAGATGCCCAGGCCGAGTGCTGGCTGAACTGAGAGAGGCAGGGCGCAGGCAGTGCCCAGGCCAGTCTTGCTTTTTCAGGAGTTGAGGCCTCACAGCCACAGCATGAGTCCATCCGAAAAGAAGAGGCCTAAGAATATAGTGATTTTCAAGGTCAGACTTTTGACTGGAGTCTGGGTGATTTCCTTAGAAAGGGCCTTAACAGAGAATCCAGCCTTAACCAGGATGGGGGCTTTCCGGTCTAGGGAAGAGAGAAAGATAAAGGGTGAAAAGAGATCAGGAGCGCTCAAATGAGTTCTGCCTCCAAACTAAGATGATTAAAACTCCCATCTGGGGTTGGTCAGGATATCTCAACCAAATGGAGTGGCTTAATAGAGGTGTTAGGGAAATGAGGATTCCTCCTGACTCACTCTGTCTGTCTGTCTCTCTCTCAGATCCAAGAAAACAAACTGCAGGACAAGACAAAGCAACCTGCCAGCAAACTAATTGAACGAGACCGACTTAAAATGGTGAGAGGCCCCATTCTGGCCCCAGGTTGGGGGAAGCTGGGTCCCCTATTCCATGCTGCCCCTGGTTACCTACCAGGTTGCCAAGAGGAATAACCCAGAGGAGTCAGCAAACCCAGCCCTGCACCAATCTGAATCAGGGGGACAGGGGAGTGGGAGGCTATCCCAGGACAAGTAGAGCTTCTATTTTCTCATTTCTCACCCCTCCTAGGTGTTAAGAAATTTGTCGTTCTTGAAGCTACTCAAGAGCTCGAACCATCGGATCCAAGAGCTGCATAGCTTGGCTAGAAGGTGCTGGAATTCAATAATCAGAGTTCCCAAGATGCTCCAAATCTCCTCTGGGTGAGCTTAGCCTACCTGTGACCTACACAATGGCCCCACTAGCTGTCTTTACTGGGATGAGGCACTGTGCTAGGGAATTTAGAGTATAATGTTCACTAAGGCTCCACATCACAGGCATTTTTATACCTATTTTACTGATAGAGGGACTGAGCTCAAGAGGTAAGTGACTGTGCTTAGTTAAACTGAACTGGTCAGTGGCAGAGCAAGGATCTGAAGTCACTCCTGTCTGAAATCAGAGCTGTCACCATAACAGGGGTCATCCTCCTCCTCCTCCAATTATGGAATAACCACAATCTCAGTGCTGTGTATGGGGGAAAGGTCACTCTCATCAATCGAACTCTAGCCTGCAGACTGGCCACTGAAGTCTACGAATCGGTACATCTTGCTGAGGCTCAGTTTCCTCTTAAGTCACATCAGAATGTTAGGAAATTTTGAGCTAGTATCTGCTAAGGACAGCTGTAGTGCCAAATGCTTTATAAGTATGTGCTCATTTATTCTTTGCAACAGTACTATTTAGAATTTCCCAGTTTCCCTAAAAGCCTGTGCCCCACAAGCCACTGCCTCCTCCTTAGCAGAACCATCATGAGGACACGGTGGTCCTCATCATCTTCACACAGCTGGCAGGAAGTCTTCCAGCATGTTATACCTGTTATCTCCTCCCCCCTGGGCTCTTCCCTTTGATTTGGCTCCCTCCCTAGGTATAGGCATTCAGGAAACAGAACTGGAAAGAGTAGGACCACAGCTCCATACTTTTTTAAGCTTATTGTTTTTGTCAAAGCAGTGGAACTTTTCAAACATCTGTCCCTAAGTTCCAACTATGTTGTTGCTGGGGGGTTACCTTGCCCTCATCCTGCCCTCACCCTAGGGCAGATGGAGGCAGTGGAAACCCCTCCACAGAGTCCTACAGTTTCTTGGAAACCAAGTAGAAGGAAACACTGGACCTTTCCCCTCTAGACTGAAATGCAGAGGCAGAAAAGCCTAACCTAATGGCACAGGTAGGCTATATATTCCTAGTGTCCAAACTACTGGTCATTAGCCTCTGCCAATCCTTCCCTGCAAATGAATCATACCTTCTACCACCAGGCCCCTGGGCAGTAGAGAAGCTTCTTTTCAGGCCCGTTCCCCTGAGTGGGCCACATACAACTCTGTCAGGATTAGACTAGAGGACCAGGGCCTCTTCCTCTGCTGACAGCCTTTCCTCTCCCTGCAGGGACAGTGTCTGCAAGAAAGTGAAAGAAAAGAAGGAAGAGCTCCAGGAAGCTGGGTCCCTGAAAAAGCAACTGGAGTCCCAGAAAGTGGAGTCCATAGGGGAACCTAAGGAGCTAAAGGATTGGAAGCCCAAGGTGGAGTCAAAGCTGGAGAACAAGGCAAAAGAGTCACCTGTAGCAGTGCCAAGAAAACAGGATCCTGAGGGTGCAAGGACATCAAGGGGTGTTGGGCTGAGAACAGGAGTCCAGAGGAGGGAGATCCGCCCTCAGGGTCCCAGAGTCCTCTTCTTGAAGGCCTATCATCACCGAACTCCCATGGGAGACAAGAAGCAGCTGGGTATGGGTGACCAGTGGGTCTGGTTTGATGGACTGCCCACTCGAATCCATGTCCCAGGGCCTCGGGTCATGTGCAGACCCTCTAGCTTACGCTGGGCTAAGCGCTGCTGCACCCGTTTGTGCTCTGCATCACTTCAGATGCCTATGCGCCGAAAATACAAGGTGGGTGTGGCGACACCACTGCAGGGCTGGGGTGAGATGCAGAGCAAGAGCAGGGCTTGGGATGTGGAGTCTTAAGGACTGTGGTGGGGAGTGCAGAGACTCTGCCTTCAGGCCCAGAGAAGGCAAGCCATCCACCAAGACTATACAGCAGAGTTAGGAGCTGGGCTGAGGTCTCTCAGGATACAACTAGGGGTTCTGAAGGAGGAGGAAGACGGAAAGTGTGATTTGGATGTGGATCATCTGCAGCGTGAGAAACTCCTGTGGCTCTGAATTTCACAGTCAGAGGTTTAATAAGCAGATCTAGGGAGTTCTAAATGTGGGAAGAAATGTCCAACTTGGGTTTTGCTGTATCCTATCTCCTCTTAGATCAAATCAAGTCTCCTTTAGCAAGGAGAAAACGTTTGGGAGGGCCTGCCCCTTACTTCCTCATGCACCCTAAGTATCAGGGGAGCAGGGGGAAAGACTTCAGCCCCCCTTTGGAATAACTGAGGTCCCAGGGAAGGAAGGGGTTATTGTCTCGTCTCCTTCAGCAAAACCAGCACGGTCCCCATCCGGCCCCCCAGAGGGTCTGTAGGCCCTCTCACCAAAAGACACGACAGCGCCCGCTGGGGGCGGTCTCAGGGCCTAACACGGAGGTCTCGGCACGCAGGTGGTGTGAGCAGGGATGGAAACTTGAGAGGATAAAAGGATAAACACCCACCATCGGCTGAACGCCAGGAATGCGCGGGAAAATTCAACAAATAAAGTCACCCATCCCACACAAAGGGATGCTACCGCTGGCCCTGCCTGCTTGTTTGGGGCTGAAGCAGCGAGAAAAGATGCCCTCTGCAAAGACGGGGCGGGAGTGTGCGTCACGACGCGGCGCCCTCCGCAGCGCCCAGCGCCCCGCTCACGGCCCCCGACGGGGGCACTCTGTGAAGTCAGAGGGCAGCGCCTGCCAGCTGCCTCACAATGGCCCTGCGCCTTGCCCAGGCCACGCAGGCAGAAAGTGCCAGGAACGAAAAGCAAGCTCGGCCTCCCGGCCGCTCCCACCCCGTTCTGCCAAGCCTGGAAGAAGGCGCGCGAGCGGGCGGGAGAGGAGGGGGACGCTGTGGCCAGCCGGGAGCATCCATGCGTCTGGGATCAATAAACGGACCTCCGGTGGCACCCCTGTGGACCGCGGGGAAACACCAGCTCAGGTGGGAGAGGGCACTGCGTCCCCAATGCCTGCCCTCAACCCCAAACCCTGGGCAGCCCCCATCCGGTTGGGGTCACCCTCTGCCGTGGAAGCCACGGCACCCTGATCACAAGGTTGGGGAGAGCAGAGCTGAGGGAGCCCATGTTTTCTCTGCGGGAAGACTTCCCCAGCAGGCGGCGCAGAGCGCCCACCCTCCCCCAGCAGCTGCGCCTTGCCCACTCGAACCATCCCCCCTACTAGTGCTCCCCGTAGTGTCCATCTTGGTTCTCTTGCTAGGCAACCTTGAAAAATACCCTGTACTCTATCCTCCTCCCCAAGTTCCTTTTTAAAATTTTTTGTGCTAGGCCTAGGTTGGAACTATGTGCACCATAACTTCAACCAAACATGCTAGCATGGGCAGCTTGATCTCAATCAAAAACTACAAAAACCAAAAAAATAAAACCTGTTTCCTGCCAAGCCTCCTCTCCCCGCAGGGGACCTGCCAGGGAAGGTTCCTGAGTGGGCACTGAGAGGTATGAGCCTGAGCAAGAGTAGCAGCTTGCATTTCGCCCAGAGGACAGAACTGAACTCCAGCTGCCCATGGGTATAGCCGCCTACTAAGGCTCGTGGGCTTGAGGTCCAGCTCGTCACTGGAGATACTCCCAACAGTACCCTCCTTCCAGCCCTCTCCTGGCCTGCCTGGCATTTGTGCCTCTGGCAACCTGCCTCGCAAACCATCCCACAATCCTTAGGGTTCTGTTAGTTTTGCTTTGAGTCTGTGATAGTACTAGGGTTTGAACTCAGGACTTCTGGTGTGTTTGCTAGACACTCTCCAGTTTAGCCATGTCTCCAGCCCCACAATCCCCAGTTTCACCTTCATTTACCTACTTCAGTTTCTGGGCTCAGTAAGGCACTGGGGTACTGATTTAGAGAAGGCCACTCCAGAAATGGCTAACAATTAAGTGGAAGACAATCTGTTTGAAGCTGAGCATAAAATCACAGGACCTACCTCTTTGAGTCTATTTCATCTGGTTTTTAAAAGAGGGTTACTAAAGGACAGCCACCCACTTTGTCATATCATTGCTAAATGACTCCATGACATTGCTAAATGTTCTTAACTATATATATGGTAGTTATATGCATGCAATGGAAGGAAGCCAGGAGGAAGAACAGAATAAGTGGGAAGCAGAACAACATACTTAACAAAGGGGCCCATCAGCTGTACTGGACATAGAAGAAAAGGAACTAAGCAACCTAAAGACAGCAATGGAAAGGGAGGAATGAGAGGGAGAGAACAGCATACACTAAGCAAAAGAAAAGGAATGTAATCACCTGATGTGGAAGAAATAATTGTACTGTCAAAGCTCATAGAATTCACAAACTTTATAGACCATGATAATGACAATTTGCCTTGTGAAAGTTAAAATGTTTGTGACTTTAACTAAGTATCACTATTCCACAATACATAGATGACAATGTTGTCAGACACCTTGCTCTCATACTGTTTTGTTGAATGGGAACTTCTTTGTACAACTACTTAAAGATATAATAAAAAAATAAAAATAAAAATAGAGGGTTACTAACACCTCTCAAAAGGCTTGAACCAAATTTAGGTTTATGAAGCCAGTTGTAGTGTACTGAATAATGTGTGGCCTCTTCTAAAGCATCCTTCCTGGCCCTACACAGTAAGAAAACCCCAAGGCAGGTCCTTACTTAGAAGCAGCACCCTAACTGCTCCGTTTTAGGAACCAACGGCTGGATCCCCAGCAAACCCAACTGTTTATGGTAGAATGTTTGTCTAGCATTTGCAAAGCTCTGGGTTCCAACCCCAACTCTAAGGAGAGCGGGGGTGGGGGGGTGGGGAGGGGCTGTGTTCACATTTAGTCTTTTGATAAAATACTATTTATATTCCTGAGACTGTCCCTATTTCCTGGGTCAGGAAATTATACAATTGGAATGTGAGCTGGGTGCAGCAGCTCTTGCTGTAATCCTGGCTATTCAGGAGGCTGAGAACTGAAGGTCATGGATCAAAGCCAGCCCAGGCAGAAAACTCTGAGACTTTTTTTTTTTTTTGGGGGGGGGGGTCCAGTCATGGAGCCTAAACTCTGGCCCTGGGTGCTGTGCCTCAGCTCTTCAGCTCAAGGCTATCGCTCTACCACTTGAGCCACAGTGCCACTTCTGGCTTTTTTCTTTTTGCTTATGTGGTGCTGAGGAATCGAACCCAGGGCCTCAGGCATGCAAGGCAAGTGCTCTACCACTGAGCCACCTTCCCAGCCCAACTCTGAGACTCTTATCTCCAATCACCTATCAAAAAGCAGAAAGTAGAGCTATGCCTCAAGTGGTAAAGTACTACCTTGAGCAGAAAAAGCTGAGAGATAGCGCTCACACCCTAGGTTTAAGCGTCAGTACCAGCACAAAAAATATTCAATATTGGGAAAAGGTGTTTCCTTTGCAAAAGGGAGACAGAGGTAGCAGTTCTTACCACACAGAATATTAATGAACCACTCAGTAAGGCCTGGCTACATCACAGCCAAACCTATGTCCTACCTAACATTAGGAAACACAGGGTCACAAGAAAGCTGTCTCCTGTAAGTGGGAGGAAGCCTAATAACGATAAAAGAATTATGGAGTACTTCCAGAAAGGAAAGCTAAATGCTTTACCCATGACTCATAAAACCCTCATAATAACCCACGGAAGTTAAGTGTAATCTGCCTTTACATACCCTAGACTTCTGCATCCTTGCAATCAACCAAGGACAGATAGAAAATTTGAAATAAAATTTTTGTCCATTCTGAACATGTAGACTTTTCTTCTTGTTAATTCCTAAACATGTGACAGTGAAACAACTACTTACAGAGCATTTATATTGTATTGTCTACTTTCCTACAATCATTTGAAATTTCTAGCAATTTATTATACTCACTTTGTTAAACAGCTAGTAATGTTTATAAAACACTATTCACCTTCAGTGAATTTTTTTAAAAGTGCTTTGTTTTTAAAACAATACACTAGGGGGCTGGGAAGGTGGCTCAGTGGTAGAACACTTGCCTTGCATGCATGAGGCCCTGGGTTCGATTCCTCAGCACCACATAAGAAAAAAGAAAAAAGCTGGAAGTGGCGCTGTGGTTCAAATGGTAGAGCACTATCCTTGAGCTGAAGAGCTGAGGGACAGCACCCAGGCCCAGAGTTCAGGCCCCACGACCGGACCCAAAAAATAAAAAATAAAAATAATAAAACAATACAGTAGGGTGGTAGCAGCTCATGCGTGTAATCCTAGCTACTCTCAGGAGGCTGAGATCTAAGGATCATGGCTCAAAGCCAACCCAAGCAGGAGAGTCCATGAGAAAATTAACCACCAAGAAGCTGGAAATGGAGTTATGGCTCAAGTCATAGTGTTAACCTTGAGCACAAAAGCCTAGGCCCCAAGTTCAAACCCCAGTACTGACACCAAAAAATAAAATACAGTAGGGTGAAAACTATGATTATAAAGTGATAGACTAAGCAGTCAGAACATACATATCTCTAACTACTGACCTCTGCAGAGTGAACTGATTAATGTCACCACCGAAGTGCCAAAAAAGCCCACCTGGCTCTTTAAAAATTAACCATGGGCCAAATGCAGGTGGCTCATGCCTATAGGCCTAGCTACTCAGGAGGCTGAGATCTGAGGGTCACAGTTCAAAGGCAGCCCAGGTAGCAAAGTCTGTTGAGACTCTTATCTCCAACAAAACTACTCAGAAAAAGCCAGGAGAGGCACTGTGGTTCAAGTGATAGAGCACTAGCCTTGAGTAAAAGCAGCTCAGGGACAGTGCACAGGCTTAGTTCAAGCCCCAGGACAGGGGGGAAAATTTTTTTTAAGTAACCATGAGTAAATTCTTTGCAGTGTCCTCCTTATCTGTAAGATATAGACAATGGAAT